CTTCCTTTTTAATTAATTAGCATTGCCTATAATTAATTATTTTTAATTGATGTTTACCAAAAAAAAATTATTTTTAATTGATTACTAAATCATAAATTTAATAAAAATGCTTTAATTAAAAAAATTACTATTTACTTTAATTCTTATTTTTTCAATATTGCTATTTTAAAAAAGATGGTGGAAGTTATGTTATTTTATGTAATTCATAACTCATGCTTGCTAGTTGCGAGTGTCATCGTGCCAACTCAATTCTAGAACTTCACATATCCATTTAATACATTATTTTTTAAGTTTCTCCGTATTAAATTTAAATTCCTATGGATAATATTGACATTATATTTGGTTGATTGTGTTTTATTTACTTGATGTTTTTCATGTTACAGTAGATAATTGTATTTTCTATACACATAAAAAATATGGGATCCCACGTAAGGTCTTGTCAAGAGAAAAGAGATAAAAAATTTATATGTTTATAGGAGATAAAATTATCTCTTTCAATATGAGAAACATTAATCCCATATATATATATATATATATATATATATATATATATAAAGGTTATCTTTACACCGAATAAAAAATAAAAAATTTCATATTTTAACTTAATCATTCGTCCATTTATATTCAATAACTTACAAAATTAATAAGTTAAATTCAATTAAGATTAAGAATGTAATTTATATTAGTATATAATGATCATGCCTTATATATATAGGGAATATATACTTACCACAAACTCTTTTTACCATCTTTATAACCAACCTAATCATCGTTGATTCCCGTTAATCTAAAGGTTATAATTTATATCTCCAAAAAAAAGGTTATAATTTATTGGGTTTATTGAAAATTAATAATTAATTAATAAGAACGATCCAATGATTTTTAATAAATTATAACTGTTAGATTGACAGAAATAAACAGTGATTAAGTTGATTGTAAGGGTGGTAAACTTTTGTGATGGTAAGTATGTCATTTATATATATATATATATATATATATATATATATATATATATATATATATATATTGCAGGATATTTTTACACCGGTGTAAGAAAAAAAATCTTACACCGAATCTTGATTATTGATTTGCTTGCATCTAACGGCTCGAATATTTAATAAATCAAAATCGTTAGATATAAATAAGATCAAGGATTAAGAGTTAGGGCTCGTTTGGTGGACAGGATAGGATAAATGTAGGAAATGATGAGGCTGATAAGCCTATATCATGTCTTGTGTTTGATGAGCACCTGATTGACAATCTGATAAGATTATGTAGAAAGAAAAAAGAGAAAGAAAAAACAAAATATAATGCAATAAAAACAAAAATATTGGGTAGTGTGGGGATACATTGGGTAGCGTGGGGATATATTGAGTATCCAATATTGGTATCCTATCCTATTGAATCATAACCCAACTCTCCCATAGAATAAGAAATCATGTATTGGATAGGATAAAATGAGACAATATGATAAGCTAATCATATCCTATTGACCCACCAAACAAGAGATAAAAGTAGGATATGATAAGTTATCCTATCCTATATTCTTTATCGGGTGCTCCAAACAGACCCTTAGTGTGTAACTTACATTAGCGTAAAATAATCCTGACTATATATATATATATATATGAAAAATCAGTTTGTCATGTTGTAGGAATGAATGACACTGTTCCGTCCTACAACAGGATCCGGTTTCATATCTTGACTTTTTTTATTAAAGCGTGGGACTCACACTTGATTTGTGTACGCAGGTAATATTTATACATGATTATTTTTATTTAAATTTTTTTAAGTTTTGTATAATAATTTGTAAAAATTTTAATTATTAAATTTATCAATATTATGTTTTATATAAGTATTAGGGAGAGATGAGAGCGAATGAGATCCCTTTCTAATAATATTGTTATAAAATTTTTTATTATTATTTTTAGGAGAAAGAGGGGCATATACTGAAGTTGATTGATCTAAACAAGAGAAACAAAAACATCCAATCATATATTAAAGAAAATATAATTTCTTATGTTATCACATATAACACATAAAAAATGAATAAAATTCATGAAAAACAAAAGAGAGAAATTTTTTTTATCTATTTTTTAATATGTATATAATAAAATTATCTTATTCATAAAAAAAATAATATTCCTATAAACTCAAATGGGGTGGAGTTGACGAGATGGGAGCCATTTTGGGAAGATCCAAACCCAGTCTCAAGGTTTACTATGATGTGATGTGATGTCTATGTTGTAGGCCCAATTTGATATTTTTTTATTTTTCTTTTCTTTTTTTAGTCTCCTGAGATTTGATTTGTTTTGGAAAGCGTGAGAGCTTATAAAAATAGTGTATATTTGGTGGTCTGGGTAAGGAGAAAACACCTAAAATGAGAAAAAAGAATACGTCAGGCCGATTCATATATTTAGGCCTATTAAATTTAGGTCTATTAAATTTATAAGGTTGACAATATAGTAAGCAGCGGAACTATTGGGATTCACAACGATTATTAATATAAACGTTACGCCATTATAAACATATTGTATAGTTCAAGATGCATTCCCCGACCCCCCCCCCCCCCCCCCCAAAAAAAAAAAAAAAAAAAACAATTTTTGTTTAATTTACGCCATTAATCATAAATCACTGGTCCAAGATAATTTAATTTAACCCAGTATTGATTGAGATTAATATAAATTTTAAAACTCCCTTAACATAAAATAAAAAGACAGATTGTATCAAAACACACCGGCGTTTAGAAGTATCAAAACACAGAAGACATAATATCAGCTAGGGACACTAGTTAGGAAAAGAGAATATAATTTTCAAAAAAAGAAAAGAAAAAGAAAAGAGAATATAGTCAAACAAAAAAATAAAGCGTAAATGAATCTCGTCGAAGAATCACTTGAAGCTCAAGGAAAGAATTTACATGTTATACTTTAGTTTTGTAAACCCCTTTTCTTTTTCGTATAATAAATATCCTTACTAGGATGCTATTATTTATTTTTAGTTATTAAGCATACAAAACTTGTACTCTACGATAGCTAGAAAAATAAAAAATTGTACACTTTAGGAACTGACATATGTCATGTGGCAAAAGTACAAAGTAATGTGCCAACAAACGGTTCCACGTCAAAAACAAAATTCCAACAAACAGTTTCAATTTTATATATTCTCCTCCAACCACGTGGTTTTTCCGTACCTTTAAAGCGCATTTGTTTTTTCATGTGACGGTTGGTAATTTCCCTAATAAACTGTACAACAAAAATCTATAGTCATTAGTCAATACCATTAATTAATTCGGAGATATTTTTCCATTTAAAACTGAATTAATTAAAAGGCATTCATTAGTTAAAAAATTTAAGAAAACAAAAGGAACACGTCGAATGCATCCATAACATGAGAAATTTTTTGGTATAAGTGTTGTAGGTATATTCATATTAAAAAGGAAAAATTTTTGGAACATAAAACAAATTATACAAAAAAATAAAAGTTAAAATGAATTTTTTTTTTTTTTTTTAGTAATTTCCACATAACACACTCCTGGGGCTTTTTTTTTTACGGATTAATTTTAACTCATTTTTTAATTTAAGTAAAAAAATAAAAATAGGACAGTAAAATTTAAATTTATGATCACTTAAATAAGTATATTAATAATTTTATATTAATATCTGTAACAGTTTCGACAACAATCACCTTCGAAATATTACTGAAGTTGTTAACTGATTCTACATACGTCTCTTTTTTTAATATATTTCTTTTTCATATATACTCTTTTAAAACAAATTGTCACAAAACATTGTATTTGGAATAAATTTTGTGATAATTATGAGTATAAAGCAACTTTATGTTTTCATGAAAGAAAAAAAGATGAAAAAAAAGTTCAAAGCAGAAAGCTTTTTGGCACAAAGCCATGGACGAGAACAATTTAAAGTGGTAATACTATATCGCAGTTTTGAGAAAATTGTCGTCTCTTTCGTTTGCATTTTGTTTAATAATAAGAATTACAACTCACTTTTAACGGGAATAATTAAAGCTAAGTCGATTAGGATATTATTATTATTTTTGTATATCCCAGTGGAATATTCACTTATTTCAACTAGTCTTCTCATCAGCTCATTACACCATAAACAACTTCAGGAAAACAAAACTCTCTGTTAGCCTTTGTTTTATATTGTTTATGGACCATCTCTGACTGAAGATATTGTAATAATAAGTATTAAGCATATGATCATTGAAATGTAATAGATATCAATTACCATTATAAAATGAAATGATATTAACCGAACCATAAAATTTAATATTTTAATTTCATTATTACTGCAAAATATAACACTATATACTTAATTCGTAGAGTAAAAATAACAACGTCCAAACTAAAGAGAGGATTATTGGCTTATTGCAATGACTTGAGTTTAGAAGCAATGCAATGCAATGCAATAATACCTAAAGTTATAGTCAACTGTACCTAACTGCCAATTAAATTATCTACCTTTCAATACTAATCCAACACTCACATCAATGGAAACATTTCTTAATTGCACCCACATTTTAATTATGACCTTAACTCCCTAAAACACACGTCATTCAAATTCAAAATATATAACCACAGCGCCAAACATTTAACGACAAAATATAATAAAGAAGTGACAACTCTTTCTGAAGTTTCAACCGAACTACCGAAACCAACGACTACGCACATTCTTACTTATACGGGTAATAATCTCTTGTACAGTACCATCAACGTTTGTCACCGTTACTTAATGAAACATTATTATTTTTAACTATTAGTGTTTTAAGATATTGAAGTCAAATACAATACCTGACCTAACATGCCTAACTGCGTTTATTTTTTTCTTTCAAATAAAAAGTAAAAAGAAGTTATTCAATTTCATCCACTAACTCTTTCACAGCTTTTCAATTGAAACAATTGTGTTAAGAATCTGTCTCAAGTCTTAACCATCAACTGCACTTTCTCTCTTTTTCTTTCTTTCTTTCTCTCTAAACTTTGTCTTATAACTGTTGCTTAAAGCCTCTCCCAAACCAACTTCATTCTTAAATCTCTTTTTTTTTTTTTCTTATTTCTCTTTCTTTCCCTACCCCACCAATGGAAAGTTCTCCTCCTCCTCCGTCGTCGGAGGGGCATGGCACTGATGCAGAGGCAGCGCCGCCGGTGGCCGTAGGGAGAGCCCTGGAGCTGCTCCAGATGAACGACCCTGATTTGAGGGTCCAAGCCGCTCGGGACATCCGCCGCCTCACCAAAACCTCCCGCCGTTGCCGCCGCCACCTCCGTCAAGCTATCGCTCCACTCGTCTCCATGCTCCGAGTCGACTCGCCCGAGTCACATGAACCCGCCCTTCTCGCCTTGCTTAACCTTGCCGTCCAAGACGAAAAGTAAGCAACTCTGTTTTTTCTTCAAATAATTAATTTTTTTAAAATATGATTTTATTGGTTAAACTAATTTTTGGATTAGCTATGTTATAGATTAATTTGACTGATAAAATATATAGTTAAATGACTTATATGATAATTTTTATCATTAAAAAACTAATAACATGGACGTTGTTTAGTATTTACCCCTCTTCCCAATTTGAATTTTTGAAATAAAATATTTTATTATTTTGAGTGCATATTAAACAAACATCTGTTTGTTAATATATGGTACAATAGTAAGGGGTTGTTTATTTTAGTTTAGTCTCTTTTCACTTATTTAAGCCATGTAAATCATTGAAACTCCACTTATCGATTTTTTTTTTCCGCATTTTTGTAAATCATTACCAGCAAGTGTGAAGCGATTTTCAATTTAAAATTTTCACCTCTTCACTTTCTATGTTCTACAATACTCAACATTATCAAGGAATAAATTAATATATACTCTCTAATAATCATCATAATTGAATTTAATGTTAATCTGGCTTATATAAGTGGTCTTGGTACTGTTTCCCCTTTGTATTTTGTTGTGTATGTTGTCACGGTACAGTACCAGTCACTTAATTTTCCTTTCTTTCTCTTGTGGGTGAATGCTTCAGATTCAATCAATAATGTTTAACTTTCTGCTAGGTAATTTCTATGCGTTACACATAATTCAGTCATATTCATTACTTGACCTTGTCTTATCAAACAGGAATAAAATTAACATTGTTGAAGCCGGTGCATTAGAACCGATAGTTAGTTTCCTCAATTCTCAAAATCCGAATCTACAAGAGTATGCAACTGCATCTTTGCTCACTTTATCTGCTGCTACAACCAACAGACCAATAATTAGTGCTTGTGGAGCCATTCCTCTTCTTGTGAAGATTCTTAGAGATGGAAGCCAACAAGCTAAAGCTGATGCGGTAATGGCTCTGTCCAATTTATCAACACACCTTGATAATCTCAGCATCATTCTCGAAACAAATCCAATCCCTTTTATAGTTAATGTTCTTAAAACCTGTAAAAAATCCTCAAAAGTAGCTGAAAAATGCTCTGCTTTGATGGAATCCTTGGTGGGTTATGACGAGGGAAGAACTGCATTGACATGTGAAGAAGGTGGGGTTCTTGCAGTTGTGGAAGTTCTTGAAAATGGGAATCTCCAAAGTAGGGAACATGCTGTTGGAGCACTGTTGACAATGTGCCAAAGTGATAGATGTAAATATAGGGAACCAATTCTTAGAGAAGGTGTTATTCCAGGACTTCTTGAGCTTACTGTTCAAGGAACGCCCAAGTCTCAGCCAAAGGCACATACCCTTTTGCAGTTACTAAGAGAGTCTCCTCATTCAAGACCTGAAATTGAACCTGACACTCTCGAGAACATAGTATGCAACATCATATCCCAGATTGATGGGGATGATCAACCTGATAAAGCAAAGAAGATGCTAGCTGAGATGGTCCAAGTCAGCATGGAACAGAGTTTGAAACATTTACAACAAAGAGCTCTTGTATGCACCCCAAGTGATCTGGCTATTACTAGTTGTGCTTCTCAACTTTCTTCAAAATGATAAATTTTCTATGGTGAGAAAGGAAGAAAACAAAAAATTGAAAATAGTACATAATAAAAGATGCTAGTCCAGGCCATATTGGAGGGTATCAAGTGACTGGTAATTGTCAACAAACTGAAGTTGTAAGAGGATAAGAGCATGATTTGTAGTTGGTTTGTAAAGAAACTGTTGTATATAATGATATACAAGTAGTTGCCTAGTTGGTTTGTACAATTCTTCCCCCTCCCCCACACATACCCAAAATTTTTACTTGATAAGATTATGAATTTTGGTTATTTTGTGTAACTGAGAGAAGGACCGTCTTCTGCTGTTTTGAGTACGAGAATTTTCTTGTTGGGGGACACAGAAAGCAATATTTTACTGATGGCAAATTTGAGTTGATGTTGATGGAGACTGGAGAGGGGTTCTGGTTGTTGACTAGTCAAAGTGTATTATAAAGGATAAGGGAGATTTTAGGTAAAGCCTCCTTCAATGATGACGGATAACAATTCAGTGGTTTCCGCCGAATTATACTTTATACCATTTATATATATATATATATATATATATATATATATATATATGGGTTTTACACTTCTTATGTGACATAAGATAAGAATTTTTGCAACACACACAAACTCAGATGGGTCTCATTAAAAAATGATAAATAAAAAAATTAAAAATATTGACACGCAAAATGATGTGAGTGTAGCATAAGAAGGCTCTTCTTATGTTGCATAAGAAGTATAAATCCCTTTATATATACATTAATTAAAGTATATCTTTTTAAATGATTTAATTCATAGTATTTTTTAATGAAGGATATATATTATTTTTATTTAATTTAAATTCTTAAAATTAAAATACCTATTTTTTATTTATATATTTTCTATATATTTTAGATTTCATGCATAAGATACTTAATAATTGTTTTGACTTCTTCAGTAAAATGAATTTAGTATTCTCAAATATGAATCCAAGTACGTTCAAAAGATTAAATAACTTTTATTTATATATGTAATATAATAATTTATATAATATATAAAGATCGATATAGTCTATTAAGAGAAATTCTTATTTACTAATTTGTGTAAACTTAATAATTGTATAATAATCTTGCTTATTCTAAAATAGTAATATCATTTAAATATGAGACTAATTTAATTGGAGGTACGGAATTAAAACTCCTATCTTGTGATATATTATACGTTTACTTTGTTTTAATAATTATTAATATATAATTTAACTAATTATTGTAAAATTCATTATTATAATAAATTTCAGCTAATTATTATTATAAAACAAGATAAAGGATATACTAAAGTTTGATAAGATGAGAGCGACGAAGGATTAAACAAGTTTGAAAAGATGTTTGGGAAGAAAAATAAAAGTTTGAAAAGATGTGAGTGTTTATTTCTTTCAAAATGGATACCAAGCGGAAGGCATCGAAGAAGAAGAAATGTCAAGCATAAAACTAACACGTGTATCGTTTACGAGTCTCACGTGATAAAAATATATCACAATACATCACTTATAAATAGTTTTCAAACTATATAAAATTGATATATTTTTTAAAATTGTATTATTTGATAAATGTGCCTGATAAACTCAATTGGTGTCAATACTCCCTTCGGAGTTCTTATTGAACTACCATTTAATTTATGGGTTTTATAAGAGTTATGTTGTAGGAAAAATGATTGTGTAATGTTATAGAGATTCGTTTTGCGTGCCTTAATTTTTTATTTATTTTTTTGTTTTAAAAAATGTGGACCCCACAAAATGTTGTGAGAGTAAGAAAGTTTATTGTGTTATGTTACCTTAATTTATCAAACTTCACCTATCTTATCTTATCAAATAAAAAGGGAAAACTCAACTCATACCCGGAACCGGTATTGCTTGTTTGCCATTTATGATAAATTTATCTGCTTCATCAACAATAGAATTAAGTGATATATATAAACCGAAAAGTTATTATCAGGTTTTCAATTTTTTTTTGGGTTCCTATTTGATAATTTGGAAGCTTTAACTGTCAGAATTTTATCGGATTGGAAGAGGATTTGTTTTTTTAGGTTCAGATGATGCTTTCTAGGTTCAGCTCAAGGAATAGATTTATAGTGTTGCGGCACGGCTCAAAAAGGAGCTTTCCTAGTTTATCTCAACTACTATACTTTTGGCTTTATCAAGATATTTGTCTGTATAAGTTTCGATGTCCAAAACAAATTCCCCAACGTTTGGTTATCTTTAAAATTAAATCTATAAAAAAATCCATCAGACCGCTATTTAAACCTTCGCAATGAGATAGTGTTTTAACTCTCTCCATTAACATCAATGGCTTCCAAAGCTCAAGGCATCGAACTAGGAGAATTGTCAAGTATGGAAGAGGGCGTTAAACATAGCCCTTCCAGAAACTGTTGCATGCATGGTTGTTGTTCATCAAACTATGTTGTAACCCTGGCACAGAAGGTCCTTCTTTTTTTATCTCATGTCTCAGAAGAATCAACAATCACACACACGCACAAATAGACATGACATTTATTGCTTTTTCTATATGCACTGTCACTAGGTGATCGCAGAAGTCATAGGCACATATTTCATGGTGTTTGCTGGTTGTGGTGCTCTAGCAGTGAATAAGATATATGGCTCAGTCACGTTTCCAGGCGTTGCTGTCACATGGGGGCTGATTGTAATGGTCATGTTTTACTCTGTTGGTCATGTCTCTGGTGGTCACTTCAATCCTGCAGTCACCATCACTTGGGCCATCTTTCGCCGCTTCTCATTCAAAGAGGTAATTTCTTTTGTGAATCATTTTTAATTTGTACACCTTTTAGTTCTTATCGAACGAATAAATTTTTAGTGCATTACATACACTGAATTCAGTGCATTTCCTTATTTATGTTGTGACACATAGAGAAAAAAAATATTACATCATCTTAAAAAAATAGATAATAATGTAATGTTTTTTATCTACATGTCAGAAAATGATTAAATAGATGCAGTAAAAATTTATTCTGAATTGGACTACCACTTATCAAACTTGTTCCATATTTTGCCACCTTTTTTATAAAAATTTATCGAATAGTCACTTTAAGAAAACTTTTTTTTGCTAAAATGATTCGCCACCAAACTCGCTGCACTGTGTAGCGAGATTACGTGACAATATATTAACAAGTTTAAGGTAATGTAATCTCACTGCACTGTGTAACGAGATTACGTGACAAAGCCTAATTCGCTGCATAGCGTTTTATGTGGCGCTAGTAACAATTTGATACGTGGATTAAGAGAACGAATAAATGCTGATTTATTTTTTGTTTTCTTCTTGGAAAATATAATATACAATAAAGATGATGGAGTGTCAAATGGATTATCCATGGAAAAATGATAAAGACGATTTAATGTCTAATAAATGCTAATTTTTTTATTGGTCCTCTCAATCCATGTGTCAAATTATTACTGGCGCCACATAAAACATTGCACACTACAGCGAATTAGGCCTTGTCACGTAATCTCGCTACACAGTGCAGCGAGATTATGTGACCTTAAACTTGTTAACATGGTACCACGTAATCTCACAGCACAGTGCATCAAGTTTGGTGATATGATATTTTGACAAATTTAATTCCTAGCGTGTCAATCCAATAAATTTTTGTCAAAAAGCTGGTAAAAGGTTGTTATCTCCATATCTTATCTTATTACATACGGAAAGAACAAGTCAAAAGTCAACTCATACCCTTTGGATCATATAAAGGAATGGAAAGGATTATATATGAATAGTAATTTAGAAGGATTATTTGATTATCTCTTGGGATGGGTATTTAATTCGTTAAATTTGTGTTACCTACTTTGATGAATTTGTACATGTAGGTGCCACTGTACATTTTGGCTCAGATGCTGGGGTCCATACTCGCTAGTGCCACATTAGCCTTAATGTTTGATATCACACCAAAAGCTTACCTTGGAACGCTACCAGTTGGATCATATGGCCAGTCTTTAGTTGCTGAAATCATCATCACCTTTCTCTTGATGTTTGTCATATCTGCGGTTTCTACAGATGACAGAGCGGTCTGCAATCATATATCTATCTATATGTGTGCATGTGTGTGTTGTTGATTTTTATGAATCTTAAGATTCTAATATGCATTTGCTTGGCTTAATTAAATGGCAGGTGGGTGACTTGACAGGAGTTGCAGTTGGAATGACTATTATGTTGAATGTCTTAGTTGCTGGGTAATTAATTATTGGTTGATGGGTTTTAAATATTGATTTTAGGCAAGACTAAGAATCATCCATGAGGCTGATTTGGGTTTCTGATTAAAATCGAAACTGCAATTGCTTGCAGGCCTGTATCAGGAGCTTCCATGAACCCAGCAAGAAGTATTGGTCCCGCGCTTGTCATGCACTTTTACAAAGGGTTATGGGTATACGTAGTTGGTCCAATTATTGGAGCCATAGGAGGAGCTTTGGTCTATAACTTTCTTAGATCCACACAGAGTTAACCAGAGGACCATCCTTGAGGAACACTGACCAGAGCAACATCTTTCATTTTCATTTTTTTTTAATCTTTATTTGTTCTTTTTTTTTTTTTAGTTGAGCATGGTGAATCCGAAATAGACTGCTATGGTATTAAATAAGATGTGTTTGATTTGAATGTAATATAATTATGAATACAATGGTTGCTTTAGCTTGTTTAGTTGAAGAATTTCACTATTTTTTTTTTTAATTAAATTCGGTAATGCAAGTAAAAATTAGTTTTTATAGGATTTAATTTTTAAATTATAATTTGCCGATTTTCTTAAACTAGGATGATTGGTGGTATGTTTCTGCAGATGCAACCTCTGTGGAAACAGAGCGCTTAATGATATCCTGAAAGTGCAACGGTGCTGTTGGACAACATAAATGCATGTATGGAATAATCATAACTTTTAGTTTTGTCAATGAACTGAAAAAATTATGATTTCAGAAAGTTCACTGCAGATTATGAAAAAAGGGCTAATGCTATTTAAAAGTTCAATTGTAGAGGAAAAGTATAATTTTTATGTGAAGGCAACTTTGGAATTCAATTTTCAGAGTTTTTGTCCTGTCACATTGGTAAATGCTGCGATTTAAAAGAAAGACATCTATTTAAGTTTCTAATTTACATTCAAGCTTTCACCAATAAGTTTATACCAGGAGAGACAAAAAAGAAGAAGAGAAATAAAATGAAGATGATGTACCAAAAAAGTAAAATAAATTGAAGATGAATAAATAGACAAAGTCTGAACAAGAACAAGGAAGAGAAATCAAACATTTAAACTAATGTCTCTTGGAGGTTTGGCTTAGCTTCATGAAGTTAACCAAATATCATTGTGATTGACACTGCTCCCAAACCGGCCAAAACCAGCAACCCAACAGCTTTGTTTAGAGCAGCAGAGTAAGAGTGTTCATCCCATGGCACACTCGTTACATATATGAACCTTGGCGGTGGAGGTGTTCGTGGCGGCGGTGAATGTGGTGGTGGTGGCGGTGGTGGATTACAATTCTGTGGGGAAGAATATTCTGGTAGCGGTAATAGCGGTGGCGGCGGTGGTGGCAGAGGAGGCGGTGGTAGTTGGTCACCACATTCACACTTGATCTCAGTGTCTGTTGGCTGGGAAACCACTGGTTGGTCTAACTTGCTGGAAGATGTGATGGCTTCAACCACAGATGAAAATGAAATGCATAAAAGAAACAGCACTATTGTAGGTTTTTGAGTATACCAACTCTGTATTGGAGACTCCATTGTCTGAATAGGGACTTGGTTTTGATTCCTTTTGAGGCAAGGTATAGATATAAGAGCTTGTATTTGAAGTAGGTTCTAGGACTTGGTTGCTCTTGGGTTACGTTTATTGCACGAATAGTGTGCCAAAGCAAAGGTTACCCATTAGGCTACTGAAGTCATTTTGAAAAATGCATGCAGAAACTTGATCTAGTTATTTGGGAGCTGAAGTGTAGGGGACCTTCCTTGTACACGCTTTTATTTTGGGAGCTGACAAACAATGAGAATGTCCTGATATTCTGAGAAGGGTAAATTTTGTGTACAATTAAGATTTTGATTCCCATTTGCAAGTAGCAATATGTGGGGTCTTTATTCCCTTCACTTCTGATGGCGTGTAAGAATATTCTTGCCTTTTGCATGAGGTTTGGTGATGAAACACCAATTACATGATAATGATCTATCTCCCAGTAAAATTTTCAATACCACCGTAGTAGGTACATTTGGCCAATAGAAGTGTGCCATGTTAGCTTGTGTCGTACTGGAGAGCTTGTGTTGCACTGGAGAGAGAAAAGAAAAAATTGTTTTTATATTTTATATTATGTTTTATTGGTAAAATATAATATAAAATATACTGTTGCATTCAATTTTCAATATTACCATTGTATCCAAAAAAAAACATTCATATCTCTCTCCCCCACCCTCTTCTGCTATTTAACTTCCCTGGCTATTGCATGAGATAAGATGATCATACATCAAAGCGTATAGTTGCCTGTGCATTGAACAATCTAATGTTGAAGGAAATTAATGAATTACAGCAGTAAATTATAACTTAATAGTTAATCATAAAATTAATAACAAAGAGAGAAGCAAATCCTTGGTGTGGCAGGAGTGTATACACAATTGGCTAACAAATTTAATTAATGGTTAATAGTTTCAAATATAATTTTAACATAAATTTCAAGTTTTACTCTTCTTTTAATCTGTAACAAGCCCAAATCGTTCTTTATTAATTCTTGTCCTAGCTTTGCATCTCTAAAGAATAGAACAGATTGCTCACTTCACTTTGCATAAAGTGTAGAGCTGGAATTATTCTTCCTCATACGTGACCATTTATTGGCATCTTCATTTAATGTAGCTTGCGATGATCATATAAGTATCTCGTAGTTGTAGTCTTTTCCTTTCATCCTTTTCAGCATGAACCTCACACAACTATTCAGCAGAAGGAGAACACACTAACCTTTTAGCAAACTTGAATAATTTATTTAGGGACTTTTTAAGTTCCTTAGCTTGTAAGAGAACATTGTGTGCTTTATTTCTCTCTCAAATTTTTTTCCAATTGGGTTGGTATACTCCTTCCCAGAACATATGCATCCGAAATGAACAGTTTTGGGGTCAATACAGTTTCTTTCATCATATAATCAAGAAAATTTAATTTATCGAAAAATTAACATTTAAAGTAAATTTTCCTCTAAGATATACTATTTTTTGGACGTTGATAATCATATTGCTCGGGCGCACCGCGCATACAACTTCTTCGTAAAATTGTTCATTTTAATCAATGGGTTCGTCGCTTTTCATGTGACTGCTGATGAGAAAAGTTGCAGCAAATTTTTAACACTAGGATACACGTGCGGATTCTATCAAAAAAAAAAAAATCAGGATTCGGACGCGTATCCTGTGTTGCTGCAAGTTTTCCCTTCTGCAGTCACATAAGAAGTACTTTTCCCTTAATCAATTTGGTATTATAGTTTTTCTGATGAAGTTGTCGTCGTTTTCTTATTTACTGTAGATTAGATGTAAAGTCGTCGTTTTCTTATAGTTTTTCTTAATTTTTTTTTTAAAGAATATAGAATTATGTTATTTTAAGAGAGAAAACACGCACAATAAAAATTATAAAAGAAAAAGTTAGTTATTTTTTTAAATTTAAATTTTAAATAAAAAATATGTGTTTTTCTTTCACTTATAATGATACAACTATATATCTTTTAAGATGACAAATATTTTTTTAAAAAATATCTGCTTCAAATCTGTAAATGTGTTAGAAGAGAAAGCTGAAAGAAAAGTGATTTTTGATATTATTGTCAATGATATATTTCTATTGATCTTTCTATTTTCTATTTATTATATATCAACTCAACGTGCTGCAACAACTTTGATTTTGGTTACAATTGAAAGATTTTGTTACTAGTTATTTAATTTCAGTTAGATAAATGACTCTTTTTTCGTGATTGTATTAAAATGGGTTTACCTAGTTAGTATTTCTTTGAATAAGAGAATGTCACTTTTCACCATTGTGACAAAAGGTTGTTCCCGACTAATTAGATTTTGAATTCGAATCCTAAATACAACAAGAATTGAATTAATCGAATAATTAATAAATTAGAAAAAAAATTCCCTTTTCATTTTAAATATTTATTAATAAGAAATACATATACGGTATCATCTAATTATGTATTATTATATGCTCTTTTTTTTTAAGCTAAGGGGTGATTGTGCACTGTTATATTAATAAAGTATATAATTAAATATACAAAAAGGTCTTAACTGAACCTCCCAATTCATTTTTGGGAAAAACATCTATCCTTTTAAAGGATATAAACTTATATCATTTTAGATTTTAACCGTTGATTTCCGTCTATCAACGGCTATCATCTATTGGGTCAAACTTAATGAGTCAAATTTATTATTAATTAATAATAAATTTATCCAATAAATTATAACTGTTGATGGACGGAAATTAACGGTTAAGATCTAAAATGATATAAGCTTATATCCTTTAAAATTACAGATGTTATTCCCTTCATTTTTATTAACATGACTAAAACAAAATATAATAATTGAATAGTCGTTGGCATGTCTAATTTTGCGGACTAACCACAATAAAGCTAGAAAAAATAAACAAAAAATAAGTGTAAAATTGTTGTATTAAAGAAAGACACGAGTAATCTGCCAAAAAAAAAGAGACACGAGTAGCAATAAATGTCTTCATCTTCTTCTAACCAAATACATTTTAGAGAGAGACGAAAAATTATAATTGTGACTAAGTTTATAATTGTGACTAAGTTTCAACTCAAAATTAATTTCACAATCAATTGAAAGAGTTAAAATTTGTGTGAATACCGCATATCCACTCACCAAGTAATTATTAGGCTTGGTTTAAAGCAGTTATCAAAATCGGATCGACCCGAGAACCGGTCATATAATCGGGTTGAAGCAACGGACCGGTCATACATTAGAACCGGTGTGACCCGGTGTGACCCGACCGATTTTCATGAAAATCGATGACCCGGTGACCCGGCAAGGTCCAAAAAAAAAAAAATTCAAATTATTTATTTTTAAAAAAAAAAATCATAATGAACATATTTGAATATTTTTTTGCTTATTGACTTACATAAGTTATGTACCTAAAACACTAATATTATCTAAATTTTGCACTATCCAGAAAATTTTGATTTGATTCATAGTTAGAGACGTCGTTTTCTGAACTTAAAGCCCATTATATTTTTGTTTGATCCTTTATTGGATAATAATATGTGATTTATTATTTTTTATATTAAAATATTTGAAATTTTTATCATTTCTTTTTTAGATATTTGAGTATGTTTATAATTTTTTAATATAAATTATAAAATTACATATAATTATCGGGTCATCCGGTTGAACCAGTAACCCAATGACCTAGTAACTCGACCGGGTCAATGATCGGGCCGATTTTAATAACATCGGTTCAAAGTATGCGAAATTATAAAAGTATCAAAGTAG